AGTTTTAGCTATTCTATTGAGACATCTGTCCGTTAGAAATTAATTCTTTGATTAATTAATTAATTTTCTCTAATCATTGATTTGGCATTCTTTATATTCTTCATAAATGTAAAAGTGTTTATGTTAATTATAATTTTCTGCATTGCTTCTAAATTGCTTCAAAATCATAATACAAATCCCAATATTAGTAATTGTACCACCACCATATGCATGGATTACTTGTAATTAGTTTTGATTATTTTCACGGAACACATGTTCTCGTATATTCGTCGACATAAGCACCAATAACTAGTACCATCCATACACATGACTTTTCGTTAATAAGTAATTCTGCCGAATATACTTTAAATAAATCAGATTTCAGAAGGGTAGGGTCTATACAATTGATTGTACAATTTGAAGTCCAACAGGCCCTTTATAGTCAACCATCTCTTATCGCTTTATTACCAGAAGCGAATCGCGCCTCAGTTATGTGCGCATTCACGCGCAGCTGGACTGTTATATCGGGAGGCATATCTGTGACCTATTGATAAGGGCCTCTCGAGATTTCCACCCGTCCTCCACTCATACACCTCCATCCTCCATCCTCGCGGATCTATCTATATAGCTATATCCACGAGTGGAGATTACGGAAGTATCACTGACACAGTGCGAAATGTGTTTCGCGTGTGGAGAATCGCTGCTACCGTCGCTTGTGCGAGTAGCGAGGTGGCCGAAATTGGTCCTGAATTATCGCTCGCTGGCTGCGTATATGGAGCCGTGAAAGCGAGCGGTGATGACAAAGCAGGAGGTGGAGGGGGAGGGGGGAGGGATGGGAAATGCCTGCATGTGTCTCTAGTTTCGGCACGGACGAAGCTTTAACAGCCTTTTGCTTTTGCCCTGCTTGGGCGATCAGTGGAGGTAGATCGTGGTTTAGCCAATCTGCGAACGTGCATGCGAGGCTTCACTTACGTGAAAGGTAAACATTATTCGCTATGGGTGCACGCGTGAATGTACGGTTAAGTGAAGGTGAACATGTGTTATGGCGTGCGTGTTTGTTGTGGAGTTTCACGGGGAGATTCGTTGATTGATTATCAATTTGTTTGCGACAAATTTTCACGCAGCGAGCAGTCGGCTTTTCGCTTGTCTGAATTGTAATGTTCAATCTAAATTTTATACTAGGCAAAACAATGTTATATATTTAATGAGAATAGATATATCTATTGACTAACTGATATGGAGTTGTATATTAACTAATGGACAATAAAAAAATTAGGTGGGTAGGACAAATATGTTTAATAAAATGTAAAATTTTGTTCTGTAGACAATAAATGATATTAAAAATACTAGATTAATGTGGAAATAAACTTTAATGACGTATTTTTCTTTTGAAGGAATACAGATAATGAATGAGAAAAGATCACCCGAGGCTAAAACAAATATATATGCCAACATAAAAATGTTCAAATACTCATTAGTATCGTACCTTTTTGTTAACATTTGGTTATAATAATTTTTCAAATGCATTTGGTAGTTATATAATATTTTATGAGAAAAATGATAGATATTTAAAATTTCTTATCTCAAGTGAAAGAGGATAATAATAGTCATATTAATAATCATTATGACATTATGAAAATTATGAACTTGATAAATAATCTTCTGTCTTACTTACCTTTCGAACAACTGAAAAATCAAGAGTGAAATATATATTTGTAATAATCGATTCATCAATGATTGGAAAATGTATTTTACATGCACAAGCTATTTGTTTTCATTTCACGGTGTTATAATATATTTATTAATTAAGTTTTTTATTCTTTCAATAATATAATCTAAGAAGATATTACTGTAGATGTAAAAATTATTATACAGTTAATTAAAATGAAAAATCATAAATATTATCGTCTAATTTTCAAATAAACATCATAAACAACATAAACGATCAATAATATGCTCCATATTAGAAAACATTTGAATAAATTCTAAATATGTCGTTTAAGATATAAATTAGATTTTAACATTAACTCATATGTACAAGTTCATAATTTTATGTTATTTTAATTAACATTTGATTTTACGCATAGAATAATTATTTTATTTATAACTCACAACTGAAGATTTGTTTAAAAAAATTTATTTTAAAAACTTCAATAATGAGACAAAAAAATTATTTAATAATATATTAAATATCTCAATTAGATGTTATTGATGAATCAAAGGTCTTAAGTCTTTTTTGAATTTTAAAACAATTAATCAGATTGTATTAAAAATTGATTTTACATTACGTATAAATAAACGAATATATTACAATAGCATATTTATATTACTGAAGTAGTATATATATATATATATATATATATATATATATATATATATACACATATTTAGTATAAATAAATAGACATAAATTTAGTAATTACATTTTTATGATATGCATTCAGGATAAATTGTTTTACATAAAACTACACCCACATATAAAATAATATTTTTTTATTTCCATAGGAGATTATATTTTTTATATTTTGATATAGAGGGCTGTTGTATATAGCTAAAAAAAATTTTATATTATAATGTATAAACCAAGGATATTGACCAGATTTACCGGCACAGAATTACTTTTTACAATAGCAAATACTAAATTTGAAAATAGTATAGTTATATATATATATATATATATATATATATATATATATATATAAATTATTTAATGATTTAGAATTTGACAGCTATAGTTGTAATTTAATAAATTGTAGATAAAAATTTTCAAGTTTGCTATTTATACGTCAATGTAATTGAATAGATAAATTATTTTTAATTTTGTATATTATAAAATATATATTTAATTATATTAAATAGCTTTAAAGAAGGTAAGGTATAAAAATTTATACTTTTTTGTAAAACATATATATTATGAAATATAAAGTTTTGTCCTACCAAATTAATTTTTAAATCCCTTTTTCTCGAGGAATTATTAAATTTACTTTAACAAATAGATATTATAAGGCTAATGAGATTTCATATTATATAAAAGATATTCATTGAAATAAAAATAAAAATCTCCTCCTTGTTGATGTTATTGTTCTTCGAATATATGTCGGTACAAAGCGGCAATATTTCATTAAATATATAAGCCTGTAAACTCTAATAACTATACCTGTTTCAAAGGGATAGATATTCTCAATTCAGGTATAGATCTTCAATACTTACAATGTATAATAAAGGTTCGATGAACTAATATGCTTTTATTTTAATTTTTTTTTATAAATTTCAATACAATACATATTTTTTAATACAATACATTTTAGTTGACGGAATTATGTAAAATTATAAAAAAAAAAAAAAAAAAAAAAAAAAAAAAAATCAATATTATATGTTGTTTATTTATATTATTTAAACGAAAATAATTATGAAAGAACTTAAATAAAGTAATTAATTTATTCAGAATTTTCTATGGATGCTAGATTATTTTACTAGTAATTATAAAAATTATCTTTTTATTATAGTTGAGACGAGCGGACCCAGACAACGGAACATTAACGTTCAAAATAAGATTTTTAACGAATAATTAAAAATCAAATGAAAGCAATTTATTTAGTCTGCTTTGGAAATAAATTGAAGAATTCAGAGTAGTACATGCAAAGACACATCTACAAACGCAACCCTATATATATATATATATATATATATATATATATATATATATATATAGTGTCCACCAGATCATTAGCGCGACTACTTGTTTAATATGTATGTATGCAATCTTTCGAATACTGTATAAAATTATTTTAAAATATTTGGAAATGTAGAGAAAGCTAATAATATGTAAAAACAAGAATAATAAGGTAAAAAGAAATTAATTTTGGAAAGGATACACGACATATTTAAAAATTAATTGACAATTATTTTAAACGTATATAATAATAGCATAAAAGAATACTCGATGTCACGTATTACATTATTTTATCAGTATATTTAACAATTAGACCCAGCTTTTCATTAAAGTTCCTCGCAATAATGCTTACTCTTTCAAAATAAGTTGCTTAGCTCATGTCATTATTCGATATCTATATTTAGTTTACCAAATTTTGTTTATAATGTCATCGTATTTGAGAATATTGCAATGAACGTATATAATAATTGTTAATTATTATATAACGAATTGATGATTATTAAAATGATAATTATTAAAAATTATCGATTTGCCAATTTATTGTTTATAAAGATATCACAAGTATTTATAATTTCAGTTGAACCTACGAACATGGCGTAGTCATAGGGTTGAAATTACAGTAAAAAGTCACATGGAATATAGTCGATAATAAATAATTTTGTCTCAGACTAGTCTGAATATTATAATTATTGTCATTTTTATTATTTATCTGCTGACGATGCCTAGGGGCCATAACGAGAACGAGGAAGACGTCGATGATGATTATTGTTCGTCATAATCATTATTATAATGGTAGAAAGGTAGATATTAATTTAGTACAGGAGCGACAGGATGTCGAACCGCAGACGTCGCGTTCGTAGCTAAGCGCCTCGGGATTTCCGGCTCTCTGTATCTCAGGTGAAAATGCGCGCGTCCACAGCCAAGAGCGTCAGCGAGTCGAAGATCCTTGCCCCTCCAACAAATTAATCGGCCTCCCAGCAGGGTTGTGCAAAGGACTCGGATGGCACGCCTCCCCCGAGCCTTCCCTGATAACGTAGGCTCGGCGACTGCGGCGGTTCTCTCGATGGTGGTCGGTCGGGGGGTGGCATTGGTGGTGTGACGTCGGAGAGGTAATGGAGACGATGGTGAGGCGACGCAGGCGCGTCGAAGGCGGCGTCCGAGTAAACTCGCGGCTCGACCGGGGCGGGTAATCGCGAGATACGCGCGAGCGAGCGAGACGGGGCGAGCGCCCGGGGTGGGATCGGCGGGCCGCGCGGGTTGACCGCGCCGGCGTCAGGGTGCGCGCTCGTATCGCGCGGCCGTAATTTCGCGCGTGCTCCCCGCCACGGCTGGATGCTGGATGCGAGCGGTCGGTGGTGTCAGTTCTGCACGCGAGCCGAACAGCAGCAGGTGTGCGCCGAATCCCCGCTGCCCGCGACATAGGAGCGACAAGGGGCCGGGATACGCGAGCTTGGCCGGAGAGCCGAACGAGCTCGGGGATGACGCGGCGCCGATGAGGAGGAGGCGCCGGTCGAACAACGTGATCACGGCCGAGGGACACCGGCGACTCGGCACAGGAACAGAAGCGAACATGCGAGCCGATAACTCCTGGCACGAGAATGTACGTATGCGCGCCCTCGTGGCTATTCTGGCCGTCGTTAACGTCTAGCGGCGAGTGCTCGCCGAATGAAATCCTGACGCTAATGAAACGACGGGTGTCTTTGTCGGAGCTTGGCTCCTGTTCGGCTTCCCCTTTCAACGGACGAATCGCGGTAGGCGCGTCGATCACCATCTCGCAACCGAGCTTTGGTCCTCCGTACGAAGGGATCACGGAATTACCCGTTTTCGGAAATTACGCGGTCGACGGAAGGATATAAGGGGTTGGTAAAATTGATGGGATGGGAGGGGGGAGGGAGGGAGGGAGTGAGGGAGGGAGAGAGATCTCAGCCCCGTAGCCGTAATTACGATGCGCGCATCGATATTGGATTGCATTGTCGAAGGGCGTGGGGATAGTACTAATTGCTTTGGTCGGAAGACCGTGATCGAAGGGCAGGGGAAGCGCGCTCGATCTCTGAGACTCACCGTCTTTGAATGTCATAATGCACGGGAAAGTATCGTTTATTGACGAGGCCGTCGGTTTAATAGACCGTGTCCTGGTGCAATGTTTGCTCTTCGTTAGCCGCATCGTCCTCGCGCACAGTACGAGCTTAGCGGAAACGCGGCTACGAGTACAAGCGGGAAAAATTGAAAATCCATGGTAAAAATAATGAATCGATGATCGGCAAAGTCTAACGTCACTAAAAATACCCGAATCGACGAAGAAACGAAGACGAAAGATTGATCGGAAAGGTAATTTTTCGCTATGGAACGAAATAACGAGCCAATGTTTCTTATCGTTCCTGCGCTAAGAGCGGGAGTAAGAGAGTGTGTGAGTGCGGGGGCGTGGACCGGTGAGAAATGAGAGAGAATGAGAGAGAAGGAGCGGGAAGCCAGTGCGAGGAATGCGTAAAGTTGCGCCTTGCGAAAAGAATCGTGTTCTTGTTTGGCACATGGCTCGCCCTCGCGCACTCGACACTTTTCATGGGCGGTAGCGAGCCCCGCGACCCGTAATTATTCTCTCGGAATTCTCGCTCACGTTTTCGCATTAAACTATGGAGAGCAACAAAAGTTGAAGACGTTAATACGAGTGGGATTACGTGCAATGACTCTCCTACGACCTGCAATTATTGTCTTTGTATTTAAATGAGGAGTAGGTAATGAAGCAGCAAATTTCCCGATCGCGGTCGTTCGACTCCCTTTTTACTATTTGCTTTCTAGTACAATCCTCGGACTTGTGGCTGACGATTTTTTTTCTTTCTCTCTTTCTTTCTTTCTTTCTTTCTTTCTTTCTTTCTTTTTTCAACGAAATTATCGAATTACCATTATTTGATTTGTATTTTCGTATTAGGATACAGTGAATACTATGGATAATCGAAATTAATAGTAAAGGATGAACGATGGGTTGGTCGCAGTAGAGAACTAACTTATGGTCGAATTTAAGGTTGCACTTCCAATTCGAGAAATATTGGAATATAGTGTAATTGTATTTATGATGTGAGCATTGTTTTCGCTTTACAGCCAATCAAATAATAGGAAAATTCATTAGAAACGAGTTTATCGTTTAGTAATTAAATGTATTTGTTATGACGTAGACATTCGGTAGAATTTTTTTTTTTTTTTTTTTTTTTTTTTTTTTTTTTTTTTTGTAAAATAATCAATTTACTTTCATGTAAACTCTTTTGATAAAAAAAAAAAAAAAAAAAAAACATTAAAATTACTTTTATTTTATATTTTAACTTGTAAATAATAATAATGAGATAGAATAAATGATAGTGCGTATGATGGTACAGGATGCGTTTCATCTTGCTTCCTTCAATTTATTTGACCGATAAATGCAATGAAGAATGTAATGGCGCGTTGGTTTTTCAATATTTATCATCGGCAGTGTATCGCCGATATGGCGTTGAGAAGGGACGGGGAAACAACAGTAATGGAAATTAAAGACGAGCAATCGGATTAAAGGAGTAAAACACGAACGCTAATTGCTAATAGGATTATTTTGATTTTCCAATAAGGTGAAATTCACGCAAGCGTTCCAATGTTCTTAATCCAATTTTTCCTCGTATAAAATGCGTCGGAGCCTGTCCGCTAAAGTCTTTAGCTCCTATCCTCCCGCGGCCAATTCAGCCCCAGGTGACTCGGCCCTGATACATTAAAAATTGTTATGCGTGTCTCATGGCCGCCCGCTCACTACCTCATCCATAAACGTGTCTGTAATCTTGATGGAGATTTTGCAAGGAAAGCACGCGAATGTCGTCGCCTCAGCGCAATCTTAAAGCATCACCGTCCCGAGCTTGCATCGGCTTCCCCGCGCAAGTGGTGAATTTCTCGAAGAAGGGCCTTTCGCGAGTCGAGTATCCGACGATTTTACATCAATCGAGCTTTATGCTCGGGTTGAGGCAACGACAGGCATCTGCGATGTCGGAGGTGATAGTATTCTTTGAAATATTTCATAAATGAGGAAAGGTTGTGGCGACGTGTAGTAGCAATATTGAGTTATTATAACTCTTTCAATATACTGTGCACGAGGACATTAATACTACTTGTCATAATTAGAGTGAAATTTAATTTCTGTTATCTGAAAATTTTCGAGATTCAGGGAGGATAGAGACCTAATAGAGACTTCCAGACACGTAGAAATTACGCGGCTCCTTTCGATTTGATTTGATTGTTGTTATTATTGTTGTTGTTATTGATGATGCTGCTGTTTTTCATAAATAAAAATCCCTCGATGCTAAATGATTATTTTCTGTTTTTTTTTTTCGCTAACGTGAACATTGGGGACACAGTGAACTTCATTGCCGAAAATAAAGTATACGATAATATGAGTTATATCTTAATATAAGTTATAGCGATAATATCAAATTTAGTCTTAAAGTATTAATTATCCTGATTATTTCTAAAAATTATTAATTTTCCTCTATGCCAGCAAGATTTCTATAAATTTGTATAATCGCAATGGATATATAATGAGTATTGCCATTAATCACTTAAGTAATGTAATATTAAATGAACGATTGAAACTTTTGTACTTCCTGAAGAATATTAACATAAATTTCTTTGTTAATGATATTTGCAATATAAGTCTGTTGAAAAAAGGGGTTAATAGTATAAATACAAGGTACGGTAAAGGCTTGGAAAGAAAAGAGAATTAAAGAGCTGTGAAACTTGAGTTGGTATTTAAGTTGAGGATAAAATTCTTATAACTCACGTATTTATAGAAGTTATAGTATATAAAAATAGTGATTTGCTCTAAAGAAAATACGGGCGAGCCAATAGAAATCATGCGGGACAAAATTAATGGCTAAATATTTAAAAAAAAAAATTTTAAATTACCCAATTTTATATGATAAAAACAAGGAAAACCACAGCAAGGCGCTTTAATTAATTGTAAATTAAAAATTTAAATTGTCTTAATTAAAGCGAATATTTCTTATGATAATTTAACTAAATTTTTAATATTACGTTTGTTCTTTTTTCGAGCAAGGTATTTACGAACAATTTAGTTATTAATTTAAATTTTAAAAATATTTTAAAGATTTTTGCAATGGTTTTTTTTTTTTTTTTTTTTTTCGATGAAAATTACAATATTTATTTTTCATTCTCTTTGGCGTGGATCGGCTCATACGCACGTCTAAGCATATAAACTCGATCAGTCAAGTAGGATTTTCCATAGTACACATAGCAATGCATCCGAAAATATCTATAAAATACAATAGAAGTAAGCGTGTAAGAAACGTTCAAGCTCTTAACAAATATAGGCCAACTTGTGTATATAAAAAATGAAAATATTTATTTGACTGTGATGAGAGCTCGTAAAAAAGACATAACAAACATTGCCTTTTGTCTATAGTTCTATATTGTTCCTTCTCCTACACATTATCTAATAAAACTTTGCACACATAATAGCGGTAAATTTCCTTATGCATTATAAAAAAGCCATTCCCTTAAACATATGAATTTCCCTCGTATTACATAGAGAGATTTATGCGGAGGAACAACGTGACGTCCAAGTATAAAAAATCGCTTTCGAGCATAATCTCTTTTTTAAGGGGGGAAAGGGAGGCGGGAGCACGTGGTAAAAATGCTGGAAAAGCTCGGGGCCAACGATCGTACGTCTTATCATCATCGGGCTCGGGGTAAAATAGGGCATCCCGCGCACAATCTACATTGAGAAAATTCAGAAATAGCCATATATATATATATATATACATATATATCTGTAATATTTCTCCGACCGGAGCGAGGCTTTATAATGTCGTTATTGGAATGGCTATATCGTAGCGAGCGGCGACTGGGCGCGGCGGGAGGGTCGACGTTATAATAGGGAGTAACAGTTAGGTGATTCCATTGAAAAATCTTTCCTGAAAGGAAGTTCGCGAGATAAAAGTACTTCCGCCGTAGACCTGATGACGTAGGGGCGACGTGGTACTGTTAAGAGCAGAGGGGAGGCGAAAGAGAGAGAGAGAGAGAGAGAGAGAGAGAGAGAGAGAGAGAGAGAGAGAGAGAGAAAGAGAGAGAGCGAGGGTAAGAATCGATAGGAAGGGTTCCCCGGTTACCTCTACCTCGTTCCTGATACGACTGCTCGCGAGGTCGACCCTTATGAGATAATGACCTCTATTATGAGCTGCGAATTCCTCAAAAACGAAGAACATATTCCCACGGCGAAGAATAATTGCGGTGCTCTCTATTTCTCATTCGCTCTTGCGTAATTTTTAAGTAGTATTCTCATAGCTTGCGAGCTACTTTCCTTCTATAATCCACCTGCCGCCGCCCCTCCCCCCGTCTGGTTTCATTGAATTCTTAAATAAAGGAAGAACAAACTTGAGTAACATCTTTTTTTCATTATGATCTTTCTAGCGCCAGGTAGATTCATTAGTTAACTTCGTTATTATTATCCCTGTGGCGGGAGGTTTATAAAATTTACTAGTACCCAACAGATTTTGAGCCTTCGGCCTTCCTCTTCGCGTTTCCTCTTGGCGATAATATACTTATTATTCAATTCCCCCTTTATTAAGGCGC